TGATGCGGACAGCTAAAAAATGAATAAAATCTTGGAATCTGGCGTTTCTCGTTCCGACAAATAATTACATAGACCGGATTGGAGTAATAAATGGAGTAGTTTTGAGGGCCACGAAAAATGAACGGAAATTTCATTGTCTAATATATGCACGAATATACTTACGCGAAATAAATTAATTGCTAGAGAAGTGATGGCAAACAAAAGGAGGACACCATATGCGAGTGCGTTATTCTCCTGTATTTCCTTAATATATCTACGAGAACGAATGATGATGGAATTAAATAACGATTTTACAAAGAAAGATATAAGTGAGTACTGACTCTAGCCCTCTGACATGGGCGATTACGGCTTTTGCTATATCCTTTCTTGTTTTGTCATCGCATTGGTATTTCGAATTTGTGAAAATAGTTTTCCTCACGTAGTAACTGAAAATTTCAGCGTTCTGTACAAACTTTCGTCGTTTAATAAAAGTATATATAATGAAAGTAATTCTCGTACATAATTTCATAGAGAGGCACGACAAAAACATACGTTAATTAGAGCTGATGATATTTACTTAATATATGCATTTATGTATATCGTTTATTATTATTAATAACAAAGAATCCGAATTAATTTTGAATTGTATCATCTTTCATATTGGATGCTACAATTTTGTTGAATAATATAGTTTCTATATTTTATATTTCTACCCAGAGCGAGTAAATTCACTATTCGAATTAATTTCTCTACATATTAAGAAACTGCTTATCTTACCAAAGGAACGATATAATTTTTTTAGAATCTCGTATCAAATCAATTTTGAATAAAAAGATCTTGCTGATCTCGTATTAAATCAATTTTAAAGAATCGCTTAATAAGACGCCCCTTGAAACACTTATCACCACTGGAACACTGATCTGTTATCGTATCAGTAAAAGACTATTAATGTGCAATGTCACCTGGTGGATCGTACAATCATTCACTACTTGTTATACCTGGCAACTTCGCTCAAACTGGCAGCATGTTTCAGCCCGAAGATCGCTAACGTTTCCGTTCCCACGAACACAGTTACCAAAATTATTATCGAGAATCCTGTATGTAGAAACGGGAGTAAATGATTGCCATCAAGTATCAGGTAATCCGTACTTATAGGACATTTCTTCAGACGAGTTTCGTTCGTCGGCACAATTCTCTCATAAACAATGATTGACGCGTAGTAGAATATACCGATTACTAGTGAGACATAAAAAACCGCTGTAACACACATACGTCAAATTAGAAAGCTGAAACTACGTCAATTCGTCTGTGTAGTGTTTTTCCAAAGATGTTGCTTACATCCGAATCGTAATCCGTAGACTCTAGCCATGTAAGCGTGCTTTTTCATAATCTGAAGTGTCTCGCCTTGTTCCATTTCCATGTCGCGCCTTACTTTGTCCATAAACTTCTTTACCTACGTTTATTTACGATTTATGTATATTTTGTAAAATGCTTACAAGCAAATTGTTATTTAACTAGACGATCGAGTTACTTACTGTAGAAAGTTGATACCAACTTATATTGTACCTTACAAATGAGCCCAAGCTCATGAGCACGAACGAAACGTACTTTAGCATGAATTCCCTGGTTTTGAAGACCATTAACTGGAAAACGTAATGAATTATGGAAATATTCACAGAAAGTATTTGACGAACATTCCTGTTCAATGAAAGTAAACATAATATACAACATATATAAGTTTTTAAAAAAATATAATTTAATTTAATTTAATTACTGTTTCTTTTTTTACTAATTTATTAACTGGATCTCCATTCGTTATCAAAAGTTTCTACGATCATGAGATTAACAGAAAGAAATCAATTGCTACTGAATTGAAAAATTTTAAGAAATATCATGATGTAATAAAAAATTTTTGTACAAAAATAGAAATTAAAAAAGAAAACGCGCCACGATAGTGGATCTTCAGTTAGGTTCAATAAGGTTCAATAAGGTTCAAGTTATGAAACCTTCACGCGGATTTAGACCGTTTTCACATACGAGAAATATAGCTCAAAATTTTATGTATAAAAAATTTTTTTTTAATTAAAAGAAAGTATAAATAATGATTATAGCACGGTTATCACAATGCAGTTACTCGAATACACGTTCGTTACTGTGTTCAATCGAAGGAAGTGTGAGAGCTATATAAAATAAAGAAAATAAAGTAAAATAAGATAAAGATAATAAAATACGTAAAATAAAATAAAGAAATATTAAATAATAATCACAGCACCTGTGCCACGATGAAAATAAAAAAACTGAAGTTGATGAGGCTGTTTTTCAAAATGGTGAATCTCGTGTTCTGATACGGCCAAAGTCCTATTATTGTTAAGAGAATCCTAGGGAAACTATAATACGCCAGTGCATCGACCATCGCGTACAATGGTTCAAGAACTACTGATTGCTCGCTTCTTCGATTTAATTTCCCACTTTACCTCTCTTAGAGATTTTCCAACGAAATATCACAACAGAAGCCAGAACCACCGGCAGAATGAATGACGCGACCCGTAATTTCAGAATTATTTATTCATGTTCATGAGCGTTGGAAATAAACCATCAATTTATTTTTTTCTTCTATAGCCTTTGACTATAGAAATACGGCTATTAAGAAAATTACAGTTTAGAATACTGAATACTCTTGTCTCGAGACAATTTCCTTTCTCTCACATTTATTAGTTTTGTCTGTGTGTGGCGAGGAAAATATTTCCCGATCGTAGCCAGTCTGTTTTCTTCGTTCGAGATGGAAAGAACTTGGAGAATGGTTCGGACGAAATTTAATGTCAAGAGAAGACGAAACAGTGATTCAGTTTACGAGATATTTTATGGGAAGAAAGATATTTTGAAGGAAGACGCACAAGCTAAGATTTAATTTCAAACTATTCACAATATTATAGTCGATATTAATATTTTTTATATCCATCTTAGAAGATATGTACAAGACATTATATAAATTAATTAATAACTCACCACATAAACTTCAATTATTCTGTGAACAACTTTAATTTACAAAGTTACTTACTGCCAGTTTTTTCACTTTTTGGATTTCGTTTTGGAAAGAAAGACACTTTTCGGAAGACAGGTAAATCAAAAAGCTCCGAGATGAAAATGCTCGTAAATTTCTAGAACAACATTCGAATTCATTGTGATTTATTTTCTATATACTTAGCTCAATATCGTCACGTCGTGGCAAAGAATTCATCATCCACTTACATGTAATCTTGCACGTTTACATTGACGAGGGAATGTTGTGAACTCTGTCTAGAACTTCCTGCACCAAATAATTTAAATAATACGTGTACGCAACAATGGAAGACATAGCTAATAAGATGAACAGCTCTCCACGGATATTCAAACCTGTATTTAGCAACTGCAATAACTGTAGTTCAGTGTTTCTTTTTTCCTTCAAATGACAGACAACACACACAAGGTTTCTAGACATGTTAATAACAATATGATTCACTCACGTAATAAGAATTAGTGTTCAAACAGATGGTACCGAGTATCGATAACAAACCATAGTTTATGTGCACTGTACTTACGTCTTGATGATCGTAAGGAAACATTTAGAAACAGAGATAGAGAATTAATGGATGAACGAGTAAATTGGTTGAAAAAATAGACTATAACTTGCGAATCAGTTATTATTAATTTGCTCTCGTCTTTTTATATTATTAAAATTTCGTAGGTTTATGATCCAATTGGAATCCTGTGTTTTCCTTACTTTTTACAATGCTGTTGAACAATTAAATGATGAATTTTTATAAATTGCGAGATAGTACGTGTGATAGTAAAATATGTTCAATTTTTGTTACTGATTAAAATCACAGCACGAAAATCAACAAGACTGGATAAGATATACACAACGTCTCGTTTTAACTCATTCGTGCAATTATCTTCGCAATTATTGATCATTCGAAGTAACGTTTGACATAAAATTTACCCCGATTCTTACGATAATCACCAGATTTGTCTAGATTTGTTTTCGAAACTTCACATCCACTTTTTTAAAAATGGAATCGTATGTTTCTCTATGCATTAATTCACATTATGTCTATACTTCTCTATAAAGAAGTATTAAAAAATTATTGATTATTAATTATTAATCATAATTGTGACTATTTTGTGGCGACGTAACGTGAGTATACTTTGTGCAATATTTAATATACTGTTGTCACGAAACATGCATTTACGTATATGTATATTTTTTTTAAACGCAAAATGTGCCCTAAAAGTCAGATTCGGTGTACAAAATGTTGTGCTTGGTGCGTGCCGATATTTTTGTTACAGAAATTGAACGTACAAATATTGTTCAGGCGCCTTGAAAAACGACGCAAAGTGGCAAGAGAATCCGCATCTTCACGAAATAAATAACTCCTTAAGATTAAGAACAACATTTATTAAACGGTTAAATGACATCGATTAAACATCGAACGACCGTCAAACACATCAATTCAAGTAACAATCGTCGACGATCGTAACAACCGATTCGAAAGTGAACGACAACAAGAGTAATCTTAACCAACAGAGATCAGCTTGTTTTTTATTGAACTTTTTGGGTGGAATGCATCACCATGAAATAAGATATCGATGATTTTATCAGCTGGAAAAGATTTTAAGCAGCATGATTACGAACGTAGTTCACTTGGCCATAAAACGAAAGAAGTAAGTACCATTGAAATGCCTCTGACCGATGGAGAAAATACTATCAACAAGGTGAAGTCTCGAGTTGACATAATGTTTAACAGAATGAACAACAAGAATTTCTGCACAGACAATGGTGCTGTGTACCATTTGGTGTTGCATCTGAGAAAAAATTGTAAACAGCTATTAATCACAACTTACTAAAACGAAAACCACACGATTGCACAAACGATATTCAAAATACAGATTAGTATCGATATCGTTATCACAAATACTTGGTGTTGTAGAATTTAAAAATTAGGCGAACGCTTAGGCTGAATAAATTGACACTTTAGTTACCCACATAGTCGTGTAAATGCCCTCGAGGGAATTTAATATCCCTTGAAATTCGTAATTTATGGAAATTATGAAAAACAACTCGGCCAATAAAAGTGCCAGGAACATCAGTGCATGCTCGAAACTGTTCATCACGAATATCGACTGTGACAACTGTAAGAAACGAATTTCATTGAACCGTTCGATTAATTTTCTCGTCTGTTTGGAATTAAGGAGAAGACAGATCGATCACTCACGCAGAATAAAGTCATGCTACAGGATGAAACACCGAACACGATGACTGCAGAATATATCGGCTTATATATTGTCTTTAACAAATTCGTGAACCTTCAAAAATAAGAGAATGCACATTGTATAAACACGTGATAGATAATGTAACAATTAGATTTACCAATTACGTGCATATAGTAGGGTTAAAAATCTGTTTCTGCAGATTAAAATGTTCGAAGGATTGTCACGTACAGACATGTATATACAAGGTTACGTTCAATCTTTTCATCTCATTTTACAAGCCGATACCGAGGCGAGTACAGTGAATTTTTAATGTATTATGCAAATATACGAACTTGATTATTCTGTTGTGCATAATCACGGAGGCAATCAGAATTTCTCTGCAGCTGTCGTTCTCATCTTTGGACTGAGTCACACACAGTAGAACAGCTTTCTTAATACGGTAACTGTAAAATGAGATTTCCTTACAGAATCTGATATATAACGCCCGAACATTGAAACATTGATATTTTTCGATAAAAATTGTCCACTCGTTTGTTATCCAAATTTAAACACATTCAAATAATCATACGCGTTTAGCGAAACTAATAGAATTGAATTGATCCAATTGGTTTTCTTACTAATTTCTCCTAAGTATATTGCACGATCATATCACATAATCACACAGAATGTACTTGTAAGAACTTTTTATGAATATGATATTCTCTCATTAACACTGCAATGACAGACGATCGTCACAACTATATTAGTCAAATTTAAAAGAAATTTAAAAAAATATATGCACAAATTACAAGGACATACATATTTCGCAGAGATCATAAAAATTTGAACTACACATACGTATAAGTTTCTTGATCTTTAATACTCGTAACATGCTTAAGATAACTTTTTTATTAAATGTAGTGTTTTCAACAAGTACCTCGTAGCAAATATTTCCAGACTTTGTTGATTGTAATTGTTGATTGTAATCCTAGTTGTAATTATCCTTCGTTGCGGTGTTAATGAAATTTCGAGATGTTTCAAAATTCTTTTTTCACGGCAAGCATTAGAATATTTTTAAAAAGCTACACGTGTATATAATAAGGAACGTATCGATTTCCCTTACCTAACAATTTCAATTAAACTAGTAGCGTGCTGTAGCAACATGGCACACAATGATTCAGTGCCTATAATTATAATAGCGCTTAGAAAGTACATCATTTCTTGAAATATCATCATCAGGGACAAGTATTTCCGTTCGTCTAAGAAATATTGCAGCTGTAATAAAGATTTATGGGATCGAGATGTGTTCAATCGTAAGAGGACGTCGAAGATTTCGGGAGGAAGGCAAGCCACCATCGTCATCAACATCGACAGAAATGTTATTACTGTAATAGTATTTTCTGTAATAATGTTCGTTCAACGATTTTGTACGACATATTCTACTGTAATCTTACGTATTATAACTTTTACATAATATTGTCCTTTATAGGTGTATTTCTTCAGAATCGAGAGCTCTCCGTCATCGTACACCGTGTCCCAAACGTAATTCACTTCTTCCATGATTCGCTTGATCTGACGTGATAAATGAAGAAGACGATAAGTCACATTTTGCCCTACTTTCAATTTTAAACATTAGAAATATTATTTATTTTAATAGTCGTAGTTTTAGGAATGCAACACTTTGTTTCCATTCTTAGCTACGTATATTTCTTTTCTTTTCTTAATGTGTCGTAACACTGATGTTATCATATTGTGAGCGTAAACGTACAATGTACGTTCGCGTGTTCCTTTTTTCTTTTTAAACAAATAGAACGATCGATAGATATGTATCATGTTCAAATACAAGTTTTGTCAACTCACTGTCTCATTCTCATACCAGTATACGACGTATCTAGCGAACAGCGAAAGTAATATTGTCCCGTGCGACATATTCTGTAGGAACATGAATACCGTGCACTCCAACGTAAATAGAGGTTGAAACTGTAAGCAATGCGTCGATTTAACGATTCTAACGAAGCATTTTTAAGAAAAAAAAAAAAAAAAAAAAAAAAGACATGGTTCAATGATTCTACACCTTCAATCGAAATGTTCAATTCATCGTGACAGCATCGATTTCGAAAATAATATGAAAATTTAGCGTTGTGCGTTCCACTTGAAAATTTGAATCCCCCCCCCCCTCTCCCCCATGCCCATCGACGCTGTTAAACCGAGATCCAATTTCAAACTTTCAACTTTGAATTCAACTCGACAATTGGCAATTAATTAATTCCGATCGGTCCCGATGGATTGTTGTTTGATTTCGAATTAAACGGTATTCATCGATTGGACATTTATTTTCGACTAAATACGGGCGCACGGGTGGAAACGCTCGAGTCTGTCGTCTCGATAGAAACGTTTGTGTTTCTTCATTTTCAAAGTACGTGGGAATGTTGGAAAAAAGAAAAAAAAAGAAAAAAAACTGGAGAGATGCAGGATAAAGTTCAGGCTTTGTTCTTACCTGCACGACGGACGAAAAAATAATGACAACGAAGATAACGACATTTTGAAACAATTGAAAGCCGGATCTCTGATAGGGCCAGAGTCCGATCACCGACAACATCAACACAGTCGAATTGTAATACTCGGGTAGCTTATGATCCATGATGTGTCGCGACTGAAGTGCAACTGACTACCCTGTATCTCTGTACACTTCCCTTTTCGCCTCTTTCCCATTTCTTTTCTTCGCCGCAATGTTGAATAAATAATAGCGCTGAATAAATAATAGCATTTCCCGCTACGATGGGGTTGCGACGTGATTGACGGTAGCTATAATTTGGAAAATTGTGCAAATAAAACGCGAGACGGTGGTGTACTTGCACATTTATATGAAATTACTGGAAATTACAGGTCTCGAGAGCGAAGGGAATCTCTCTATTTTCTACGTTTGTTCTTTGGGGGAAAAATTCCCTTTTATTTCTGTCTCAGGTGCGGCGTCGCGATGACTAACGTTCCACTCCGTTTCGTTCTTATTGGGACCATCTAGTCGTCAAACTGATTCTACGACTTGACGTCGATTTTTAACCAAGTGAGAATCTTTAAACAACTGATTACAATTTTAGACAATTTTGTTTTAGAAATACGAGCTCTTCACATTGGTTAGAATACACATATTTTTTTTTACAGGATTTTATGTGCATTTTATGTCGATGAGCGTCTGTTTCGTTCTTATTGGGACCATCTAGTCGTCAAACTGATTCTACGACTTGACGTCGATTTTTAACCAAGTGAGAATCTTTAAACAACTGATTACAATTTTAGACAATTTTGTTTTAGAAATACGAGCTCTTCACATTGGTTAGAATACACATATTTTTTTTACAGGATTTTATGTGCATTTTATGTTGGTTGAAATATTGTGTTCATGAAGTGCGATTAGGTTTCCTGCAAATCACATAATACTGACGCTTGATCTTAGTTTTTGAATATTCCGTTTAGACACTTGTTAATTTTTACACTGGAATTTTACCGAATTTTTCTTTACATGCTACACGCATTACCTCGAACATTTTATAACACTCATTAGCGATGATACATGGTTACAATACCTTCAAGCAGTTTTAGGCTTCGTTCGACCAGCAATTTGTTCTTTCACCCAATAAGATCAACGGTACTTACCTAAAACAAACAAAGAATAATTATATTTTTACAACGCGCAAAGCACAAATTAGCATTCTTATTTTATAAACCAATACGGGTGTTGATTTATGCGTGGTGTGGTCAAAATGTTGGTAGAATAAATATTTTCCTCTTGCATACTGCGACTAATTCTCCAACTGGATTTATCTATCATCGGTACAAATTAGTTATTAGCCGATTTTTCAGAGAACAAAGAATTAGCATCAAGTTTCTTATGAAAATAATGTAAACTATGAAATCAGCGGGCGTTGTTGATGAAAAAGATTCAGAGAAGGAAGAGAAAATGATTTTCGAGAGAAGATCGGCCGTCAAACGTGTGCACGATCTCTGATTGAAGAATTGCTGTTCAGGACAATCTCTGAACAGCTCGAAACAGCTTAACGAAGGAAGCGTGCAAAACAATTTTTTACGAAACGTAAATTCGAACAGGCGAGAAACTTCGCGCCAAAATTGTTCCCGCGAAGCATTTCGCTCGCGAGTGCGCGAGTTTCTCGCCCGTCGTAACTTATTACAGTTTCTTGAGCATTCACCGACTCATTTAGCCTTTATTAAGATCAAAAATATCACGGAGATGTAAAAACATGATAAAATAAATAGAAGTGAGAAAAATGTTAGAGAGTATTTCAGTCGAGCAACACCCTGTTTTATTCACAATCAGTGGAAACTGAGTTGGATTCAATACATAGGTGATAATGTAGCTTTTGATGAAGATTCAAATAAATAATTTTTATTAATTATTTCTACGAACTTGTTGTCCACACCACGTACGTATATAACTAGAGACTTTTAATTCTTTGTTCAGCAGAAATATATCCAATCACATGTGCTTTTAACAATAAAAATTAAAACAGTTACTGATTAAAGTATATTGCTACGTTAGAATCGCTATATTTCACAGTGTACAAGTACTTTGCAACTATTTTCATTGTCTCTGAAGTGTTTTGAACGATCTTTCCAAACATTGCGCGATTGAACGCGCCACAATCTAATTCTGTTTTTCGATTGCAGAAGTTGGAAAAATAATTCATTGATCGCAGCTGGAAAAGTTTTAGATAAACTTTTCAATACTGAAACACGCTTTCAATGGAGATTGTCTAATTGCAAGTGTAGCTGTAAATTTTTATCTCCTTTCACAATGTACATGACATCAATCTTAACAATTTCGGATAACGATCTACGGAACCGAGATCAACGATCAACGCAAAGAAGAAACACGCTGGTATGTGTTATATGATTTGAACAAGGAAATAGACAGAACGAAAGACTGAAATAACTTTCTTAAAATAGCAGAATTATAATATTACCACTATTCTTGCAAACGAAGCTTTGCACACACACACATACACACACATACACACCTTCTTTCTTATATTCTCTACGGAGAATCTAGCAAGGCAGAGTTACTTACAGTTTCAATCTGAGGGATTAAAGAGAGATTGTTCGAAGTGTGTGTCTAGGTCTGGAATTATATCAATATCTTTTCATTCTGTAATATTTTAACAGTTTATTGCTCAACGGTAACAACGTCAGTTTAATCCTACAGAGTATGAGTGAATAACAATTGACACGTGAACATTCAAACATACTCATTGGGTCACGTACGATCAAATACGTGTACTGAGCATTAACATGTGACTTGTGTACAATTACTCTTTCTTCCTCTTACAAGTTACATTTGCATGGAACGAAAAACCATAAAAGCGAAGAATGGAGAATGATGCCAGAATACGCGGTATTTCAATATGGCGATCAGCGTGTTTATTCATAAATTTATCACTCTACGTGATGCAGAATTTCAAGTAGAAATTGTCTCCTATTGATAGATAAATGAGTAGAGAATATAATAAAATTGATGCACTATACTTGTGTAACCGTTTGAATGTTTAAAATTACCAAAAATCTAAAAGTTTGATGTCAAATGAGAAGTATGTAACAAATTAAGAATACATTCGTCTTTAAACGTATACCTTTTGATATATATTTATTCAATATATTACAATACATTATTTTCTTTTGAAAAAATGACTCACTTATTTTATTGTTTATAAACACTCAAAAGATTAACACTGTCCTTCAAATGGATAAAAATCGAATGATAATTGAACAAAGCTACTACAAAAATTCCATCTACTCGTCAGCGAAAATTACTTGAGAAAAACGAATTATGTCACTATCCAAGTCGAAATTGCTTCGAAAAAC